AGTTGTTTACCATGGGTTCAAGACCACAAATTCTTGGGTGTATGTTTAGATCCTAAGTTGAGCTTTCAGAAACATTTTGATAAGATAATCAAAAGTGCCACACAAGGTTTAAATGTACTTAGATCTCTGGCTGGTATACATTGGGGTTCAGATCCGAAAATTTTGTCAATGCTTTATAAAAGCGTGGTAAGAAGTCACTTTGACTACAGTTGTCTAGCATACATGAATGCTAATTCAAGTTTATTACGTAAATTAGATGTTCTTCAAAATAGAGCTTTGAGAATAATAACTGGGGCAATGTGTTCTACTCCTATTCATGTGATGCAATCAGAAAGCTGTATTCCACCACTCATATTCAGGCGTTTACAGTTGGCAGAAAGATTTTGCTTAAGAACTATTTCTTATAAAAGCTCATTTATTACAGGCAGACTATTACCTTTAGAAACTTTACAGAATATGCAAAGAGGTTCTTATATCAATAATGCTTCACTTAATACTGGATACACTCCAGAAATGGTAGCAATTGTGCTATATGTACATAAATTTTATTCAAATCTGTATATAGATAATACTTGGCCTCTGTACAATATTTCATATAATGCATTGATAAATTGTAATTTCATATTACATTCTGAACCAATACAAAATAACAAAGATTTAATGCAATTTCTAGAAAACCAATCTTATTATAGAGTATACACAGATGGTTCTAAGACTGATAATAGAGTGACATCTGCTTATTATGATGTCCAGCTAAATTTAAGCAAATGTATATTAATCCCAAGTAATTGTAGTATATATACAGCTGAATGTTATGCTATCTATCAGGCTTTAATATATATCTCAGCACTACAAAATGTTAACAAGTTTTTAATTCTTTCTGATTCACAAAGTGTATTAAATTCATTTAGAAATAGTTGTAAATATGATGTTAATTATTTAGTGTTTTATATCAAACAAGTCTTAAGTAACCTAAATGATTCAGATAAAACTATACATTTTATGTGGGTACCTTCGCATAGTGGCATTACAGGAAACGTAAAGGCTGATGAAATAGCACGATCCACACCCAATGAAGACCATTCACAATCAATGAAGATTCCTTTTACTGACTTTAAGGCTGTTGTTAATCAAAACTTGGCGATGCTCTGGAAAAACCAATGGGAGTTAATTAGCAAAGAGAAAGGTCAATGGTACAAAAAGGTCCAAGGAAGCCCGCCCGCCCAACCTTGGTGGTACAATAAATCAATACAGAGTAGAAAGTTCATAACTACTATAAACAGATTGAGATTTGGTCATGGTCAGTTTCGCACTCACCTGCATAGATTGAAGATGGCAGATGATCCAAAATGCCCTGATTGTAAAGAAAATGAAGATCTGCAACATATCATATTCAAATGTAAACGGTTTGGACTACATCGCTTGGTACTTGTTAGCGAACTTGAAGCAATCACCAAGAACATACCATCAACGCTGGAAGAATTATTAAAAGACTACAAATACTTTAAACCGTTATTCAAGTTTGTTGTCAACACTGTCAAAAATATCTGAGTGAGAAGAAAGAACAATGAACGAATTTTGTCTTGTATTCTGTCAAAAAACTATGTAAGGCTTAAAAGGACTAGTATCCAGAGCCGTAAACACTAATAAATAAAAAAAAAAAAAAAAAATCAGTTTGACACTACGTTAGACAATTCAAGAATATTGAATTTTGTTGTTTTTGCGAATTTGAACTTGTGTTTTTGGTTAAAAATTATGTCGAAGCCGATAAAAAGTTCATCGAGGAAACTTCTTTCCATCATGATTGACAAGTTTACTGAAGTGAAAACTGAATTAAATAAAAATTTCATGGAGAAATTACAACGATTAGATAAAGTTGTATCTTTTTTAGGTTAGTTTTGTATTATAATTTTGATACTTTCGTTTTAATTTTCTGTAATTAACTAAACAGATATTTTTTATAAAATATTGCTCTATTTCAGATAACTGTGATGGTGATATTCAACCAATAATGGAGGAGATAAATGCAATAAAAACTTTAGAAAAACAAGAAATGCTGAATTCGGAAACGCAGTACTTACAAAAAATTTCTTCAATGACAGGTCTCTTTTCTTGTTTTGATTTAAGATAGATTGATAGTATTCCTATAATATTTACATAGGTTTTTTATGATGTATTGGTTTTTATTGTTGACATCCAATGATGTCATAAGAATGTTTTGTTTAACAAGGAAATTCACAGAATTCATGAAACTAATCAAACCATGTAATTGTTATACATGCTAAATATGCACATAAACTTAACTAAATTAAACATAAATTGCATTCATAGTTGAATAGGTATTTAAATTATTTTGATGTATGTGTCTATCATTATTTGCTTTTAAATACATTTAACATATCTTTGTTTCAAAGTGTTTAATCTTTTATAGATGTAAGTATAAGGACACTAAGAAGGATAAAAAATGAAGCATTAATTAATAAAGGAAAATGGGACACTCCTGGGAAAAAACGACCTCATCAACCAACAGTGTCTGCTTTAGATAATTTTGATTTAAGTGCAATTCGGAATAAAGTAAATGAATTTTACTGTGTGAAAAAAATTGTTCCAACATTAAGAAGCCTTCACAATGAATTAAAAGATGCAATAGGATTCAGTGGTAGCCGTGAGACTTTACGAAAAATTATGCTTAAGAATGGATTTTCTTTTAAAAGCAATGAAAATGAACGTTCTATGCTTATAGAAAAATACCAGATTTCTGCATGGAGGCACAAGTATTTGAGAGAAATAAATATAAAACGAAACGAAGGAAAGCAAATTGTGTACCTTGATGAAACTTATGTACATCAGAATTATAAAGTTAAAAAGTCTTGGCAAGGACCTTCAACAACTGGTGTCACTACAAAGATATCCTCTGGAAAACGGCATATTGTTGTGCATGCTGGATCTGAGGAAGGTTTTGTGCCTGGTGCATTATTAGTGTTCAGTAGTAAATCCAAATCTGCTGATTATCATGATGATATGAACTCATCGAACTTTATGAAATGGGTCAGAGAAAAATTAATACCAAATTTAAGTAAGCCCAGTGTAATTGTTATGGATAATGCCAGCTACCATATAAAACAAATCAATAAACCGCCTATAATGTCTAATACCAAAGCAGATATCCGTAAATGGCTTGTAAATAATGGAATACATTTTGAGGAATATCAGACAAAGGCAGAGTTAATGTGTTTGGTTAATGATAAGAAAACATTGCCTGTATATGAAGCTGAAGAGATTTTAAAAGAACATAATCATGAACTTTTATTGCTGCCACCGTATCATTGTGACTTAAACCCAATAGAGATGGTTTGGAGTCAAGCAAAAAGAAAAATTGCAAGCAGAAACATTGGAATACCAGGAAAGGAAATGGAAAACTTAATAATAGAGTGTTTTAACTTAATTACCCCTAGTGACTGGAAGAAATACACTGATCATGTTTTAAATGTCGAAAATGATTACAAATTAAAAGATGGCATTGTTGAAAACGAACTTGAAAAATTTATTATATCTGTTGGTGCAGACAGTAGTGAAGAGAGTGACTCTGATGATTCCTTGTCATTGTTATCAGGTGTAGAATATTTAGAAACAGATTTTGACTATGAATCAGACTAAAGTATTTTTAGTCTGATTCATAGTCAAAATCTTATCTTAAATTTTCTATTGTGATTAACATGATGATTTTGTGACACCTGTATTATGTAATTTATCCATGGCACTTAATTGTAACAAAAATAAATGTTTTTTTTATTGTAATCTGGTGTTTATATTGACTAATTTAATTTGATAGATAGTGGTTCTGGATCAGAGCAAAAGGTTGTGATGAAAATCCCTTAGGAGACATGTATGTGTTATGAACACATTATAAATATAAGGGCCAGAAATCAAAATTGGCTAACATCACATTTATTAAAAAAATGTGGCCAGAGTCGCCCATATTCATTACAAAAAAACAAAGAAGTCGTTGCAAAAAACACCCTTTTAATTAATGACAAATATGAATTTTTAATATTATAAGTGCTGTTAGCCAATAGGTATAACGAATGGGTTAAAAAAAAGATTCGATTTAGTCCGTCAGTCAGATAATAGAAAAATATTGGATACGTATTTTTTTTCGCTTTAATTTAACAACAAATGGCTTAAGAGGTACTATGCGACGACTTCAAATATGCTTTGCAACAATGTTACTTTAATACAGTTTATCGATACGAAATCAAGTGTCAAAATGGAGTCCAGTGGAGAATGCCGATATTGACATTTCGAAATTGCTCATCATTGATAGAGAATACGAAATAGTGATTTTGACACAATCAAAGTGTCTATTTTTTACGGTGATGACGATTCTTGGTTGTCAGTTGAGTTAGTGAATAGGCCTACTGATATGCTGTTAACTGTACAATTAAGAACAGTCACGCTTTAGTCAAATGTTCCAAAACAAATAATTTTAATTGATATCTAAATGTTAAGATTAAATATAATTAATAAAAGTATCAAAATTATTTTGCAGTACTACATTCAGTGTTTACTGCTTAAGAATTTTTGAAATTGCCGCCCTTTTCTTGTGACACGTTTCCCTTGCCAGACTCTACCAGTAATATGTATAGTCTATGGTATGGTGCCGTAGTGCCGTATTTGACTGGTACTTAACAGTATAATATTGTAATCTTTGACTGGTACGTATTGTTTTAGTATTCGAGTAGTATCTCCTTCTTGATCTGTGGTACGCGAGACGTGCTATATCATAATGTATTGTTGATCGAAGCATATATCCATATAAATATAATACTTACATAAATCGTGCCTCATTTAAAACTAACCGAAGAGAGAGAGGAACAAGTAGCATAAAAGTATATATTAGAGACCATAAACCTCATGGATGATAGACGATAGATTATCAAATTGTCTATTACTTTTTTTTTCTCTGGTAATAAAATGTTATCCTAGATACTGGTAATAATGATTTCTGTTCTGAAAATGAGTGAAGTGAGCCGAAGTAGGACAATCCAAATTTCGCCATTTTTATTTTAGTGAAGGGAGATTTTATATTTGTCAGGCTGGAGGACGAAGATTATTTTGTAAAAAGTGTGTCATTATATTTAATTTCTAGTAGCCGGGATTCTTATTTGGAAAAATCTTAGTATAATAGTGTGGTTTTATTTCTTACTAACGTTTGTATGTAGTGCTACTTCTCCATCGTAAGGTTGCTCGTTGGTGTGTCGCTTTAGCTAATTCGATGGCTATGATTTTGAAATTGTAATCTAACGTGTCGCTTTGACATTCTCCAAATCGGATAATATTGAGAAAGTGAGGCGACGCCGTTAGAAATGAGCAGGCCTCAAGGCGGACGCATACAAGTCCCGGATGACCTTAGAGAGATATTACTGGAGTTCACCATAAGTTACCTTTTGGAGCAACCGGGGGACGTGATTAACTACGCTGTTGAGTTCTTCACGAGGTTACAAAACAACAGGACGACCACCATAGTGAGGGGACCAGTAGCCGGCACGCCCGATGAGTCTATAATATCAGATGAAGAAGGTACTAGTTTATTCATATTTATTAGACAGTCACGAGAATATTGTCAGACTGAGTTAAAGGTGGGTTTAGTTGGCGCTATAGTGCTAGGGCTATCCTGTGAATGAGTTACATCCTTTTGTTCTTTAGTTCCTTAGTTCACACGCGATTGCATGGTATCGAAATTGCACCATTAAAAATATTGTGTATCAGCAAACAATATAAAACAATCTTCTTATGCTCACAAAACAAAAGTGATTAAAATAATTTCAAATAGATTTTAGATCGTTACAATCACTGATGAAAAGCTGTTTTATAAGTATGTTTCAACAACAAATAGAATTATAATTACAATTATGTGTGAGACATATCATAAAGAATTTACATTAATGATGTCTAATTATGACCAATACATGATTTTCACTGTATGACCTAATTTCGGGTAAATAGTTATCAACACAATTTATCTATCACAAATTTTCATGTGCTCTATCATGCTTTAGTGCATAAGAATTAATAGTAAGAATGATTGCAGATCTATCAAATCTTGTATTTATAGTTGCCTCTAAATATAATCTTGATAAAAATATTTATGAATACTCCACTACAGCCAACAGTAGTAATCTTTCGATATTTGGCATATTGCCATTACAGATTCTATGATATAACTTTATTTACATTATTATACAAGTTTTTGCAGAATGTGCTTGTTGCCAAGAGATAAATAATATAAAATGATATATTGTTATTTTGATAGATTCCTTATAATTGATTAAAATGCATATTGACAGTTTAAATGTTAAATATTAAATAAGTTACATGTACAGAACTAACATGCTTGTATTATGAATTGGTAAAGAAAAGTGCAAGTTATTAAAACAATCATTCATTTAGGCATAAATTTTCAGTTTTCATAAACACAAAACCAGTTTTGTTTGTTTTAATCGCTTTGAAGTTGTGTGATGTCAAGACTATGTTATTTTTTCCTAGTTCGCAGCCAACTCTAACAGATGTTATGTAAAATTACGTTAGTCTACAATAAGACAAATACAGATTATACAAAATTCAGGTGCTAACCAGGCCTTGAGTTATGTTTGTGTAAGAGAGATGTTCTGTTTCATTGTTATAGGATAAGTACTTATGTAGTAAACTCATTAAAGCATTCATTTACTAGTTTAATGACTCATTTTGAGAAACTGCTTTATATTTTTTTTTTTGTGAACTTATTTTTCTTACAGTTCGTATTATAGTGTAGGAGCCTTTAGTTTGGTTAATTAATCACTGATCTAGTAGGTAATAAATAAGGGAAGCCTAAATACTTTAGCCACTACATACATACATATGTATAAAATTACAGATAATCATAGATTATGGTCCAGATTAACTGATGATATCATTTAGAAAATGGTAGTTTCAATGATAAGTGTTTGCATGGCGATATTTACCGCCGGCACGTGTGTAACGCCAGCAGGTATGTAGGTACTTTACAGTGAAGTGAAAGCTGTTTCTCATGACCATTGATAGATTAGGTACCTACCAACTAACTAGTTGAACTCTAATAGATCAGGTTTTATTTCTCACAAGTCAACTTGTTATGTGTGATGTTATTACAATGACACAGTTCCATCTAAGATGAGTGTTAGATTGCAACCTTGAACTTGAAACTAAGCCTAGCAGATCATATTACATAATTTATGGGTATATAATAGAGGTAGAAATAAAGGATTGTGTTAAATAATATACCTAATGTAGATTTGGTTGATAAAATAGGTAATATAAATTATTAATTTATAACTATTGAGTTATTTGATATACAAATATCTTCATACTAGTGGACGCCCGCGACTTCGTCCGCGTGGAAGTCGGTATCCCGTGGGAGTGAGAAGTTTTCCCAGTAAAAAGTACCCTATGTGTTATTCTGATGTATAACCTATATTGCTGTAAAGTTTTATCCAAATCCGTCCAGTAGTTTTTTCGTGAAAGAGTAACAAACATCCATACATCCATACTTACAAACTTTCGCCTTTATAATATTAATAGGATTTGTCTCTAAATGTGGCCATTTTCAACTAAGCAACATTAGTTGTTAATATTTCCTATGTGTCTGATACCAGAGCCGCCAGTGGCGCGCTTCAACAACCGTCGTAAGTCTGTATTCGCGGAGACTTATGACCCCGAGGAGGATGACTCCGACGAGGGTGCGCCTGTGGTGTTCCCCAAGTCGGATGCTCAGCGCGCTCGGCTTGCTGAAGCGGTCCGCGGTATACTGCTGTTCCGCTCACTCGACGCTCAGCAAATGCAGCAGGTTCGTCGTGACTTTTAGCCCAAACACGTATTTACTCTAGAGTAGTGGTAGAGCAATGGCCCATCAAAAGGCCCATGGCCCACGTGTCAGACCGAAAAGTCGGCAAGTTTATTTCTCTGAACGGACTTTTTGTTATTTTCTTTTATTATCATAATTCCCAGGTGAATTGAAATATAAACATACTTTTATCTGTAATATAATAATTTATGAAACATTAATACACCACTGTATGAGCCAAAAGATAAAAGTGGGGGTAAAAGTGTCCCACTTGAGCTCTACTAGTAATTTCAACATAACAAAATATAATAACACACACAATTTTCAATAAGTAATTTGAATGGGTTTTATTTATTTTTTACAAATGTTTTCAGGTTCTTACAGTCAGAAGCACAAACGTCCATTAATGTTTAATGACGCCTTTAAGATCATGAATGTTAAATTTGTATGGGTAATGCCACTTTAAACTAATGACGATTATAATGGACGGTTGTGCAACTGGCTATTAGCCTTCTTAATAGTTTTTCATGGGTCACAAACAAATATGGGTGTCCTAAAATTATTAAAGTTAACAACCTTTCGCATTCCATGCTACTAGTATTAGAGTAATAATAATCTTTTGTTAGATACAATGTAAATAATTAAGTGTGTGATTAGTAGTTATTATTTAAAAAGATCTTTTGGTTCTATTCAATAGTTATTATAATGCTAATATAATTATTAGGTGTTGGACGCAATGTTCGAGAAGCGCGCTGAGCCTGGAGAATACGTGATCCGCCAAGGCGACGATGGGGACAACTTCTACGTCATAGAGAATGGAGTGTTCGACGTACTTGTCACTGGCGATGACCGCGTCGAAAAGGTACAAATCGACAAATAATTGTGTGCTACTCGAAAATTAAACGTCGAATGTTATTTGCACAGCATGAGTCATATTTGTATATTCTTATTATTCTAGTCCGGTACAAGGTTTTTATTAGGACGTGCGCCTACTAACATAAACGACACTTCCACTAAACTTTTCAATGTTAAACGGTGAAAACTTGTAGTTTATATGAAATATATATTTTTACATAGTTAATGCAATTATTTAATGATAGTTTGTGAATATAATTATTTCGTAATGATTACCATTATTCAACAAAAATCCAATAAATATTATAAAAAGTTTCGATAAATTCTTACAGAATATTAATTCATCGGTTGACTATTGTATGTAGGTATATAGTGGATTAACTAAAACTATATATTTACTTTCGATTATAATAAATTGGTCCTATCTTTAAAAAAATATAAGAAGTAAGTTTGGCTCAAATGTATGTTGCGTTTTGTTTGTAACTACGGAAATGAAGTCCGTGTTGCGGAAGGCACGTTGATGTGTTGATGACGCTTGTTAACACCCACCAATTCTTAGCCCGAACATGGATCTTCTATGCAATTGGCTTATAAAAGGTCTATGCAGGGACATAAATGTAGTATAGGCATGATGTTAACAAGCACGGTATAATTAAATGAAACAACTTAAAACGGTTTCAGCGCGTTTATATTTGCTTTTATGACGTTTCGGACCCTTTACAGATTCGGTGTTCACTTAAACCGTTATTTCATTTAATGATACTATACTTGATCATTTAACGACTAGATTACATACATGTCCTTGTATAGACCTTTTATAGGCCAATTGTATTGGGCGTCAACGTTTAAATTTGTTTCATTTAATGAGTAGTGCGCCTGAAAATATAAGAAATCAGTAAGCATAGTATAATTGAGTATCGGTATAATTGATGGCAGGTGGTCCACACATACGAGGGCTCTGGTTCGTTTGGCGAACTGGCCCTAATGTACAATATGCCGCGGGCGGCATCTGTGCGAGCGCAAACGCCCGGCGCGCTCTGGGCCATGGACCGGCATACCTTCCGTCGCATCTTGCTCAAGAGCGCTTTCAAGAAACGCAAGCTCTACGAAGAGCTGCTCGACAAGGTGCCCATGCTGAAGGCACTCCAGGTATGTATCTTATTTTTTACTAAGCGAACATCAACAATTGAAAATTTCTGTTGTATGTTTAAGTAAATATTACAAGAAATAAAATTTATTACACTTTTAGAAAATATTATATTTTAAAGCCTTTAAAAATATAGGTGAATTTAGTATATTACAAAAAAAATGCATTAAATTAGTTATATAAAATGTAATAATAAACATAAATACACTAACAAAAAGATATTACAAATATTGCTCAGAAGCTCCATACGTTATTTGCTACCGCACTAAGGTGTGACGTCACTTTTTGCCTGATTTGTTGGTAGCGTTTTCAGTCGACTAACAGCTATTCCACAAACAGCACGGTCTTATACAATATACCTATGTACAATCCAAAGGAACCGTCTTTAGTTCAATTCGCTCAGCGAGTCACCTGATTGAGAGGAATATTGTCCCCTTATTTGGTGGACCAACTGAACTGACAATATTAAATATTATTTTCTCAACAAACAATCATCTATCAAAGGCATTGCAAAAAAAATACATATGTACTTTTTCGAATGTTACGTTCGTAAATAATGTGTTAATATGCCACTTTTACTTTATCATACAAATCTTATCTTAAATAAATACGGTAGCATTTAATGAGATACAAAATTTTATTATGAATATCGGTAATCGCTTAAAAACTCTCTGATTTTTACGTAACAATCAAACTATCTTTGATCATATAAATCCGATCCTTCTTATCATGTAAATGTTAAAATTTTGTATGTTTGTACACCAATTTATTTGGAAATTTCTCAACATATTTTAATAAAATGTATCACCCAGGTAGTCAATATAACTCGTATAACGTTTTATTTCACAAAAGAGTTCTCAGGAATAACATTGTCATAATTTAACGTCCTCCATGGTTAAGTGACTACCACTCTGGTTTTAAGGTATTGTGATGTATCTCTGACGTCTCGGGTTCGATTCAACTGACCATCTTTTGTTAGCCTTGTATTCAATCAAAATACACTCGACTCAAAATACTGGCTTTATTAATATAGTGTGTAAGTTACAGTTACACTCACCATTCAATACAGTATATTATATTGAGTGAATTTTGATTTAATCCAATGCTTACCAAATCTAAGCCAATAGAGTTACGTGGTAGGCCTGGTCAATATATAATACGGCTGGAATCTGGATGATAGTAGTATAGTTTATTTTAAATTTTAATACATGCAAAGTAGAATTTAAAAATCATATGCCGGCAATTTGAATATATGATGACCTGATGTGCTTCTGTGTTAATCTTCGTTGTTGGTTATATCCATAATACAGCTCCAGCTGCTTATTTACTCAGAAATCACTGACGGAGATCTAGTACATTCTATAAAAAACCGTGTCTATTCTACAAATAGTGCGAGTAGTGTTAAGAAGGGAAATAACGCAAACAAACACATCTGTTGCCAGTGCATGCCCAGCCCCCTTATGTTGTTATACATGACTGGCTGCCCTAATGCTCAGCGTCCCGAAAATTGACAGGGTACTTTAAATCAATCGACACTCGCTAGCGAAGGCTGGTTTCTTTGCTTGAGAATGTGTAAAAATTTAATACTTAAAACTGTAGCTTCTTTCCCTTGTTAAAACTTCATTGATACTAGCGGTTTTCCCGCGATTTCGCCCGCGTAAATTATATTTTTCTGTCGTGTAATGTAGCTTTTAATAGGTGAAAGAATTTTTACAGTCAATTCAATAGTTTCGTAGCCCAATTTCCTGCAAACGATCAATCAAATCTTTCATCTTCATTATTCAATTACTATAGATAAATGGTGATTTGGGACCATGTTGATTGTATTCAATTATATGATGGCAATTGTACGCACAATACACATTTGGTTACTAAGTAGTTAAAAAAATGTGTTAGTTCAAAATGTGTATTTAAATGTCTCGTAAATTCGAACAGCCATCTTGGCGTATTTATTACGCAGCATTGTCATTCAGAACATAACAATTTGCACCTTATGACAATGTGGTATGTTTCATAATAATTTTGAAATCCATTCCCTATTATACGATAGTATTACGGTAAATGTTTTATTTATACTTTATTCCTGTTTTGTCTGCAGAACTTGAATGCTAAACATAAATAAGGAAAACTAATTTCCGTTTCATATTGAATACGAAAGCTCTATAGGTGCATACGGAAATTTGATATAATGATGCAATTAATGGAGTATCCACGCACGTATAGAATGGTCATTTATTTATGGAGATAATCTCCATAAATAAATGTGAGACTATATTATTCACATAATATCTTTTTCTAAGAGCGAAACATTTAGTGAGATTCTCGAACTTGTGAGATTTTTAACTTTATTATAATAGTATGTAAATTAGTCTCTGTATAAAATCTGTCGTGCCTGTTAGTAAAAATGAACGCAGCGTAGTCACTATTCAACTTTGTATGTTATTATATGAATTATTTAAAACAATCCAACAATCCCTACAAATATCAAAAAATTACATATAAAAATTAATATATTTATTTTTTTCAAATCTTGCAACAAAATTTTTAAGCAAACACTTAACTGACTAAGCTGAAGTTCTCCTGATTAGACCGATAGTATGTAACTTTAATATGGCGGAAAACCTGTCCAAGATGGCGGCCTAGTTATTATTAATACTGTCTTGACATCAGCCTCAAAAGGATTCAAATGAGAAGATTGCAAAAATAATAAAACTAGAAAAAAACAATAGCATTCTCACGATTTTTATGTTAAATTTTAAGTAATTTATTCTAATCACCCGTTTTAAAGTACTCTAATACTTTAGTGTTATCTATAAGTAGTGGTGTATAGTTACAAGTTTGCTTCCTTCTTAGTGACACCGGCACAGGTAAATAATGATAAGATAAACATGCAATGAGTTAATCGACTTACTTAATATTAACAAACGAGACTTGAAAGTCGATAGTTCTATTCATCTTTGATAACATTAAAAATGCGGTCGATTAAATTCATATCATCAATTAATTATCAATATTACGAACGGTTTTTGATAAACAACACGAATAAAATTATTATTAAGCTATATATTTAAAAATGATGCAAAGATTGGCACGTCCGGTTTGCAATACGAATGTCAAGAAACTTTCACGAGGGCCGGTCATAGGATTGGTGACGAATTTATTATCTCAAGCTCCTTTGTGAAGGACAAAAGGCACGTTAAGCCGTTGGTCCCGGCTGCATCTGCAATCGTTAACACCCACCGATCCGCACTGGATCCGCGATAAATTAGCGTGTCATTCTCTCTTATTGATTTCATATATAGGGAAGGTCCATTTCGACAATGGGGACATTAATACATTGATGATGATGATGATGATATACTCAAAAATGTGGAAAAATCCTACGATGACTTGGTCTTAGCGGATTTATATTACACGGTCAAATATAAGCTAAATAAGGCTGTACCTAAAGTCGAAGCGAAAACTAGACTGAATCAACCTGCCAGCCAATGAGATAGATAAGAATAGACGATGGCGTATTGGACGAAATGGAGCGTCAAAAACTTCATGTCATGTTTCACGTGGAGACTGGTTTTATTGTTCTTTTATTAAATTAAGTTTTAATTATTAGGTTCTAGGTTAGGTACAAATCGGTTCCTACAAATTATCCACTATAGCTTTAAAACTGTCTATCCGTATCGCAATATTCTAGTTATACGCAATTACGTAACACCTACAGCTCGTGAGAAAACTATTTCTTTTTCTCACTACGTATGAGCTTCGTTAACGATTCACAAACAAACAAGTGCGAATGTTATCATCTCGTAAATAAAACGGCGGTTTCGCGGAAGCAATATCACATCATTGATGAATGATGGTTAACATGTGTCTGTCTGCGTCTGTAGTCTGCGGGAACCATATGTGCTATGATAATTATTTAGCTACGACCTAAATGTCCATATTAGATTCAAGCAACTGGTGCTATCAAATATATGTTACCGATATTCTCTATAATCCGGTGTGTATGTATGTATATAAAAGGAAGTTATTATTTATTTTACTCTTTCCCTAGGTATTCTATACAATACCGAAGTCAATGCATAGACGATAACGCAGGCAGTAAACGTGTCGGGACTCTATAATTATTTATTATCACTACATAGTACAAAATAAAGTCGCTTTCTCTGTCCCTATCTATGCTTAAATCTTTAAAACTACGCAAAATATTTTGACGCGGTTTTTTTTCACATAGGGTGATTCAAAAGGAAGGTTTTTATGTAAGGCAAAGCTGCTGGCGGAAAGCTAGTTAGTAATATAGATAATTAAAAAATTAAATTTAAATTCATAAGCTGACATTGAAATTTAGGAAACATTCATAACCTATAAGATCATAAGGTAGGCCGGTTAATATTGATAAATACAGACCAAGATTTATTTATTTTCAGTCCCCGTGAAACAGCTTTACAATCCTTATGAATTGTATACATTACATACATTCTCAAGGCATTGTATAAAATACTTGAATTATACAAACTGCCGGTAACATACATATTGGCTAGCTTTCCGCCACAGTTTCACCCGCGTGCGTACTCCTGTATTATATATATACATATAAATACGGTCCATGTATTTTCTGTACCTTCCTCTTAAATTACTATATGAAAACCGCATTAAAATCTGCTGTGTAGTTTAAAGATCTCAGCTTACGAACACTATAAGATGATGGAATAGTGTGTTATTTTACGGGATTAAAAATCTGCAAAACTTCTTTCGAGTACTTAGTTACTAGCAGTTTTCTAGATTGAAACTGATTCATGTTGATAATTTCATATTAGTATGAAAGGGAAAACTCAATGACCGTTCATGATGTGATGCCAAAATTATAATTGCCAATATTACATATTGGACAATCAACGAGCAATTCATCGTAATCTCAGTTGAGTTACTATCGACCTTATGTTATAAATAAGTTATAATTATTGACTGCTACTTGAACCATTCATAAATTAAGGTTTCCGACAGTTTTTGTGTAACTTAATGTTGCTTTCAATAGGGATGACGACTAATTTTTGTTTTTCTGTCCATCAGGTGGTTTATTGAAGAATATTAAATACGTATTTTTTTTATTTTTCGCGCATTCAATAAATTACAGTGATACATTGAGTGAAATGTCTCATGACGTCACGCTATGGTACATTTTCTACAAAACTGTGACGTAGCGAGCCCCCACTCCTTAATTTTAATGCCTAATAACTAAGCCATTTCTTGTTTAAATTGAAGTAAAAAATACGTATCTAATATTTTTCTATTATCTGACTGACGGACTAAATAGAAATTCTTTTTTTTTACCCTCTCGTCATCCTTATTTTGTTTTAAGGAAAAAATATTTTTATCTACATTCAAATAGAAAAATTCTAATTACGAATTCAAAGACGATTCTATACATACGCACTTTATAAACGCATATACATAAAATAAAACTCATTATAGTAACTCCAACTTTATCATAAAACTTATTATAGTACCGCTATCTTTTTTTATTCATTAAACTAGTCTATGGTTTTAGGCTGAACATGAAAAAAATGGCGTTTCATCATACAACATGAAGTTTCAACTTCCCTTCTTATATGACAGTTGTATAAACTACTATAGTAGAATCATCATCATGTCGTCATATTCCAGCCGTACGAACGCGCCAACTTGGCGGATGCACTTGTGCCGCGCACGCTCAACGACGGAGAGTTAATCATCCGGCAGGGAGACACCGCCGACGGCATGTATTTCGTTGAGGATGGCTCCGTCAGCATCCGCATAACGCGCGACGACGGCAACGAGCACGAGATCAAGCGGCTCGGTGAGTGAACATGGTGCTGGCTAGTAACTTTTTAATAACACATACGAGTTTGTCCGCATACGTGATACGGTGTCGATACGTAGATTAAGCGGCTTAGTGAAAGAATACACTAGCACTAACTTTTCATACCACACGTGTATTCCATGATGTTTATTGTCTACATACGCAATAATGATGTTTAGTACAAGACCGAGCGGGTCTTGTAATTTCTGGATGCTTATTTGTTAACACCATATTGGCATCAAGATAGATATCAGGCAGCTTAGTGAATGAACACCCTTGTTCTATCTTTAAGAAAGTTCTAGAGTTGAAACTCCGTACTCTTAAAATTCATTATATTAAGAACTATTTGGTATTTTATTCTACTCTAACTTAAGCATCTCCATGACGATAAAAAAGGTATCTTATTATGCTATAGAGAAAGAAAGGCACAATGAAGTTCACCATTTATCAAAATTTTGTAGAATACCAGATGCTAGTTTCTAGTAGATTTTAACTTGTAGGATTTTTTTAATACAAGCAAATAATTTTCTCCATAGGCAAAGGAGCCTATTTCGGAGAGCTGGCTCTCGTCACTCACAAACCTCGCGCCGCTTCTGCATACGCCGTTGGCCCCACTAAAGTTGCATGTAAGTATCTGAATAATAGAGGAACGGATAATATTTATAATATTTGAATAATATTTTTGCTAAATAACAGTTATTTATATTTTTAAACCAATATACAAAAATATAATTTTACAATGTTTATAGTCTGTGTCTCATGTCAAATGAAACACCAATCAGAGCGCGTGACGTGATTTGAAGGTAAATTGGTAGTAAAACTATCTAGGAGAAACGCGGGAAGCATTCAAAATGCAAAAGAATCGTAATGATTTACTCAATTTCTAACAATATACAAGAGTCAGTTTACTGTTTTATTAATTTGTGAATTTACATATTTTTATATTTTTTTTACACTGAAAATGCCTTTTGTGTACCCCACAAATGACGTCACGTCCTCCGAGTTGCCGTTTAGGTAGTTTTTTAAAATTGAAATTTTTGAGTACCTGATGGTACATAAAGAGGTTTATTTACATTAAAAAAATTGTTGGAATAAGCGCCCAGAATGATTAATTTAAATTTTCAATTTAGAAAGCTATTAATGTTGTCCAATTCCCTATTGTTACACACATTACAACAACGTTTGATAAAGTGAAAATTACATAAATAATAATGCTAATGGTGTTGGGCTACCCGCTAAAAAAAAAGAGTTTTTTTACTGTAATGTCGTAGTCACATTTAATTAGAGAAATATTGTTAATACCCATACAAAAGTAAACCCTATGGAGCAACTAAAATATAAAAAACTTCATAAAAGTGTAAAATAAACATAATTATATACACGGTTTGATGATGACTTATGATGTTTGGGTATGAGTTTATGGACTGATACAAAAATTACACTCATTGGACACTGCACTTTAGATTTACTTTCGTAGCGGTTACTTTATGCATTAAAACATTTAATTATTATATTTGATCCATTTTGCATTGACAGTGCTATAGTGGAAAATATTCTTAATAGAAATTAAAAAAACCCACCTCAGTCCTGAGGACAAAGTGGATTTTTCATTAAGAATATTTTTCAGTTTTCATAGCATTGTGAAAGTAAAATTGATCAAATATAATAATTATGACAAATTTTCATCTTTATCGAAAGTTTAAATATTTGTAAAAATATTTATTTTGGCTGTTTGGGTGAATTATCTGAATATTGATAAAAAACGCTCTGTAGTAGCAAAAAAGTAACTAGTTTTTTTTTTAAATCATTTATTTAGCAACCACATAATACTGAAATATCAAATTGAGTGAATACATAAACACACATCGTGGCTCTAAAAAGGTATCCATTCAGCATAGTGCCGAGATGTCATTAAGATACCTCGACGCTGATCTTCCATGGACACCAGATGAGGAGAGGAGAAGTCACTACTATGCACCATACATAAATATTTACATGAAATTTTTGAAAGATTCGTCAGACCTATTAGGTACTAGGTAGCATAGTGGTTAGAACAGTCGCCTGAATTGCGAAAGTTCATGGGTTCGAGTCCCATCTAAGAGTGCCAGGGACAAAGTGGAGTTTTTAAGCCGGTGTTGCGTCTCCTAATTTGTTTTGATTAGCATAAATTTTTACTGTACAATAAATTCTACAGTCCTCGACGTGGAGACATTCGAGCGACTCTTGGGCCCGTGCATGGAGATCATGAAGCGCAACATAGACGACTACGAGGAGCAACTGGTGAAACTGTTCGGCGACAAGAGCAATCTCACCGACGTACGATGAACGCCAAGCGCACGAACCCTTCCGCACGCCCCGTAATCTATGTTTCTGAACGGTGTTACAGAGTCTAGTACCCTTAGACACGGTCTGCGATAGTTATAACTCTCCATTTGATACCCACACCGCGTCTATACATATATTTATATATAGATGTCTTACAACCGATTTCTGAATTGAGAAACTGCTATGAAATAATCATTTAAAAAATTTAAATCAAAAACGAAAACCTGTTTAAGTGACGTTTAAGATGGTTTAAGTACGGTTTGAGACGTGCTTAACCTGTAGTTGTCAATTCAGAAACCGAGTGTTAGTCTGTTCTGATTTTAAAACAATCTAGGTTGCTATAAAATGAAAAAAATCACTGATTGATGCTTTAAATCGGTTGATAGTTAGTTCAAAATTGAATGCAATAATAAGACGTTCATATTAGAAGGCCAGTATCCATAATGACAAGAAATGACATACCTTTATGAAACCTACATATTATTTTGTAACATTAGGTATGAAAATACATACAAAGTATTGTTTCACTTCATTAGACATTTCTACCTATCCGTAGAATAAAGTTTATGCTGATCCTTTATTTGACTGTTGTTATCAAAATTTTTAAAATGATGTAATACCAAAACCAGAAGAGAATCATACTAAATACTTAATTTTTTTCTTACGAAGTCATTTATTCTACGAATTCCGTTTTAACTAATGCCTTTAGTAAAATAAAATGACGTATCGTATGCCTTGATGGTATATCATCAGAACTGACTAAATGGATGTCTTTAGAAAAAAAAATTGTTTGGAGTTAACTTCTTCGATGATTGACAAGCATGTTCAACAGTTATTTAAAAAATACAGCGTCTCAGTTTTATATTATTGATTCGGTAATACTGTGACAGCGCTGTGTTTGACGCTGTATTTTAACAGAATAGAAATGCTGATTGTGACCTTGAACAGGTAAAATTTTCTTCTTTTTTATTTTTAAATGGAAAAAAATTAATCATGTTAGATAATCTGATGTTTTGACTGTACATAACAATTTTTTATAATAAACTAGTCTCATAATTGAAAAAGTTACGCTATTAACAGATAATTGAGATGGTAAAAACATTCAAACTTGTCAAGGGTACTATGACACGGTTACACCATTATAGCTTCATACTGAGATTATGCTGATGTCACTCTTAAAACAAAGCACAGAAACTTTTCAATTATAATTGTGTATAAAGCCATACTGAGTTGTATTTCAAAGATCTCAAGAGTTTTAATTTGACTGTGAAAAATGTCTGTGCTTTTTTCTATTCCGTATATAACTTAACATTTTTGTGCCATATTATTCTGGATTGTATGCTTAACACACAGGCTTGCAAAGAATGGCTGAACATATATGTCGTAAGAATAACAAATCACTGCACTTCATACTCAGCATAATCTCCTAACCCATTTTTTGTCATTGAGGCGTTAGCACTAAGTCTCATATTGTATTAATCCTTTGTTTTCATTCATTATTCTTAAAAAAAAATTGGGTACAAACTTTTCTATATATAATGAATTTTATGCTGATTTCGATCAAACAGTGCCATGTGGATAATTATATCTCTATTTTAGTTTAGTAATATCACAGATTACGTGTTGAAAGGAAGGTTTTATAATGTAAGGCGCGACTGCCGAGAAGTATTGCATTGGTACATACGAATATACGCTTAAATTAGATAGAGAAATGCCTTAGTAGATATGTAAATATACACTCGAGAAGTGGTGTACCGGACGACTCGTAGGAAATTTCTGTTATATTCGCTTATATAAATGAAATAGCAATTCAGGATCACCTGTAATTCTATTTCAAATTAAGATTCGAGAAGGAATGGGAAATATTTAATTTTTTAAAAAGTATAAAATATCCCATTAACAAAAATTTAATGTTTTTATTTTTGGATACTTATCAATGATACATTGACACCTGATTATAAATTCGGGTCGAAGGTAAAGGCATTAGTCTTAAAAAATTCCATAAATATCTATATTAGTGACAATGCAATGCTATTCGGCATTCGTCTCATCAAAGTTGAGACATTCTCAATTACAGTCGTAATTTATTTATTTGTGGTTTTCACTTACATAGGTTTTCTGAACGATACAAAATTATATACCAGTAGGTAAAGTATATAGCATATTTTTTCGTGACTAGATGAAATCTATTCACTTAGTTTTTTTAATTAATTTATTTTAATGCAATTACTTGTTTTATGTATATGGAGATTTAAAGAAAGAAATATTAATCATATTGTATGCCAAATTAAATGATAGATGGAAGCTAACCATTCTGTATTTACGAGTGCCCTTTGAGCACGTGCAATGCAATAGAAATGTGAAGAATTGGTACTATAAGAACAGCAGAAACGATTATTTTTTTAATTACTGTATTGTACGCCGTATTTAATTTCGCAGAGACCTATTTATGTTAAATGGTGATTTCGTTAAGGGAATATTTATTTTTTGTGTTATCTATTGATTATTAAAAGATTTTTCCGTTGTTAGAGTTCCTATTGTTTTGTTTGCTCTTTAACTATTTTAACTAATAGATCTGAAGTGTGTTGGAAATAATTATATAGCGGACGGTCGTCTCCGGCATTAATGGAGCCAGGACCCGTCGATTTTGATGCACTTTTATTAACAAATCTGTGTGTATTGTTTTGTGTTGAACGGAACATGGAATACACGCGCTAGCGACTCTGCTCGCAGCCGCCGCCTTCCGCATAGCCCTCAGGTTGAATTTCCCAGTATTATTTAAATTAGAAGAATTATACGCCGTGCATATGTTTATGACTCCAGCCAAAGTAGGTGAACGCGTAAAGATCATGTGTAGCGCTAAATATTTAAGTCTATTTACTATGTAGTAGTTAGTTTTTTGTCATTTTCTTATATTGTAATTAAAAATATTAGATTAGGTAAATTCAATGGAGTATAGTCAATCCTGAGGAGTAATTTTTTATGACGCCATGTACAAAAATGTACAAATTTCATCTGCCATAGAAGATTTTTAATCATTTTAATTTTATGAAATATTGGTTATATGTTATTTATTTTCTTGTTACATAAATATATTTTCAAATAGTGATGATTTAACATATATTTAATAGATAATTTACTGTTCCCGTTTCGCTGTCTCTATCTATCAAACTGTAAAAATAGACTTTTTCAATTCTCATAGATAAAACATTCCTTCATTACTGGTTGACATGTTAATTGTTCATGAGCTTTATTTTGATAATACATTCTCATCGTTTTGCAAAAACGATTCCCACTTCAAGTGCCTATTTCATACAAAACCATCAACAGGAAATTTTAGTACTCACTTACTAACAACTTGATGATTCATCTCGTGTTTTGTCTTCAGCTATTTTACTTATACTGCCTTTTCTATTTGTGACTTGTGAAATGTGTTGTGAGATATATGTATTCAGTACAACAGAAAAAGTAAAAAAGCAGTTGATCATAATTTTTCAATAAATATATATTTATTTTTCGTTTTTATTTTACTATATACATTTTGTTGTAATTCAAATAGTATTTTAAATATTTCTTTCTCTGTGTGTTTTTAATGAATTATTTGCTGATAATCACTGGTACGGTGATGTACTCGTGCGTAGTTCCCGTTGTACTATGATACAGATAGTTTGATATTGTGTATAACATTGTTGTTACATTGTACAGGTGGGAAGCTTCGAGTCTGCCCCGCGTGTCTGTGCGTCCCCGGTGTCTCGAACCCAGTAGTTGTTAATAGTATGTGCAATAATTACCGTCATATAATATCTGTGTCGTTTACATCAATATCACGTGTTAAATTTTGTCTGTGTGAATTTATTTATAGATATTAATAAAATTCATAGTATAAGACCATGTATTTCGCTATGTACCGATATTTAAGGAACTTTGCATTCATATCACATCCGTCAGTAATGTAGGAATAAAATTGAATCACATGTGTATTTCAGTTATATGTAGGTGATAAATGAAATAAATTTGAATAACTTTGATGTTATGAAAGCACAAAATGTCTAGATGCGTGTGTCATAAGGAATTTTTCAATTCTGTTGTCTTCCACGGGACGCACAGAAATTTCTCAGCTGTTCGCCCTTTAGCATTGTATCCTGGAACTGAAGCATCCTCTGGCATACTGATGTAAAATTGAAATGAAATACGCTTATTATACGCGTAATTTTTTATAAATTATACTAGTCATTGGTGTCTATCGTAGATTTGTAATCTGACAGCACATGAATCGGAACATGCTCCGGTCCACACGTTCACGTTAGATATAAGTTTTTCGTAACCGGTTTCATGAGACTAAGCATATCAGTGCGGCCGACGCCGCCGTCTCCTAATACTATATTAAATTGCACCACATTTGTACATTCGGTAGCCAGTTAAAAACTAGTGCCGCTTTTTCCACATCATGAGCTTACCCTGTACATTAATAAAAAAATATGTATCGTAAAATGTTAGAAACTGAATTATATTTGTTTGTAGATCTAATCGGTGTTTATTTTATAGCCATTCAGTATGTACCTACCTATTATGCTAGATCCTTCAAAGCTAGACTCCTGCTATAAGATATTGAAGCTCTTGCAATGTTATCAGTACCAAGAGTGGTACTGCTGGACTGATGGAAATAAATTATAGAATGATTGATGAAATAATTGACCATTTTTTTTTTCATATGTTTATGGATCAAAGTTAAATTTGCCTGTCTGCCATTCTATCACTAGAAACGAACTTTCATTATGGAAAATCGTAAGCAATCTCATAACAAATCATAATTCCATGGGAATGACATTGGTCCATAATTATTCTGATTCTAGGTTGGTTTATGTTATAACAGTTACGCCCATTTTAACTAATCCAGAACAAGGTGTAGCATAACTAGGAAACACCTAATATTAAGAATTGTCTAAGTAGATTTGTTTAATTCCAAATATTTTTTCTTTTACCCTTAACATATTTATGACCTGTCATATATGTGAACGTGCTAGGTGCTGCATAACAAATATCATAACTTTAGACATTGCTTAATTTCATCAGGTGGTTCCAGTCAATGGTGAAAAGCAATTCCTAAATATTTAGGAAACAGATTTGGGTGACTCCTAAAGTTTAATGAAAACAGGCATTTGAACATTAGCAGTAAAATACGTTGTGGTTATTGATATCATTTGCATAATTTACTCCACTTAATGATACTTAGAATGGTCAATCAATACTCACAGGATATCAAAAGTTTCTATGTTTTATGAACTGAGAAAATGACTTGATTAAAGAATGAGCTTCTAAAATGCTAGTTTAGAAGATACATTGCAGCGCTGCCAGACTGATGACAGCCCACATTATATCATGATTAATTCTAAAAGTTTTAAGCTATTTATCACTGCTATGTCCCAGACTGTTAAATAAGGGACTTTAAGATATTGTGGAAAGTTTTTCAAAATTCATTTTAAGTACAGAGACCTGGCTGTGTGCTACCAGACTGATATCAACCCAGCAGCACCACAAAATCACATGATGGAAATGTTAGGGTAATATATGCAGACATATCATCATAATGAATAAATTTGAATGATTTGGCCGACATCAACTGACTTAAACATTTAGAAATAACATGTCACAAACAATGAGTCTATTTTAAATATTACAGCAAACAGTTAATATAATTGTAAGCCTTGTTTGTAGCTATTTTGTTAATTTTACTAAAATTTTACTGAAATCAATAGGGGTTTCAATTAAACAAAAAGAAATAAGTTAAAATACCTTATACAAATAATTTTAATGTTTTTAAGGAATTCCTATTATAACCTAGTTCTTATTTATATAGGTTCAGGTTCTCTGCTATAAACTAGCATGATTTTCTCCATGATCTCCCAATTCTTTTCTTTTTGCAAATCTTTAGTGAACACCTGTAAAATAAAATTAGGTATATATTCATTTTAACATAGAGTCTTATATGTGTAAAATATGTAAACCAAGTATACTTACTGAATACCAGGCAGCATCGTCATCCAGAGTTGAAGCCAGTGGAACAGAAACTCCTAGAACATGCAGTGCTAGAGTTAAGCAAGCAACAGCAATATGTGGTGCCCTGTAGTCCAGAATACTAGGAGAATGATGAAAGTCTTGTAGGAAACCCATCGCGGTTCTAGCTATAGGTGCCGCGCGCCACTGTGCCGGCGGAAACCATTCCTGTAGTGAACGAAGATAGTGTAGTAAATATCGGTGTGGAGATGGCGCGTCCAAGTTGAATCCCAATAATCGAAGTACGAGCAGTTCTGCCTGCGCCACCGCCCCTCGCCATGACCAATATTCATCGCCTAATTCTAAAGGTCCTGCGCCTCGATTGATCGAATTGTGAGCAACATTGACGGCGTCCCGGAGTTTGACCGGCTCATCCCTCGACTTTCCAGCAGCACAAAGACATGCAGTACATATGACATAACAGTCATAATCGTTTTTATCTGCTTCTTTAAAAAATTTATGGTAAAACACAGCAGCTGTAGCGACAGTTGCAGGTTGCAAATTAAGTTTGATACCACATTCGAATATAAAATTTGTAGCCAAACTATGACCCGGTGCACTTCTATAGTCCGGTAATCGTCTCTCGCGTCTATTGTTTTGTAAAGCCATCACATCTATAACATCTTTCATTGTTGTAAAATGATTAATTATTGTTTTCTACAATTTATTCAATATTTTACGAAATACACACAGAGAAAGGACCACAGACCACAAAGAAGGCACTACAAACTACATATAAAACAGTGTTGCCATATGCTATTATGACTTGCCCCCTACACCTCACTGCAAATCCCCCCAAAAACCCAGTATTTAAAAAAACTAAAAAAAATATTGTCCTTTAATTTAAATATAATATAATACAGTTAGAAAATTATTAATTTTTGTTTCTTATTTTCAACTTTGATTTTGTTCTGCACAAAAGCCAACCAATCGGGAGAAAACAGTAGATTCAAAAAGGCATATTTCATACTGTACTCGTATAATTAAATCAATCATATACTTTTATTAGTTACTAGAACCAATGTATGTAACATTAGTATATATATCATTAGTATATAATATCGATCACAAAATAAATAAAAAAATCCGTACCCATTTTCCCGTGCATAAAAATAGAACTGACATTATCTATCTACTCTGAAATTCTCTGCTGTGGAATGAATGTGGTGGTAGAGTCTGCGTTTTTGTACATAGTAGTTAAAATATACTTATTTTGTGTAATGGTCAAAGGTCGGAATTAGGTAGAGTTATTTATGTACTTGCATCGAAATGTTGATATTAATGTGGACCTTCCCGGGATTTCTAATGGACAATCCCGTGTGGCCAACAATCTTACAACTAAATAATAATAACAACGTCAGAGATAGACAAATAAAACAAAGATAATTAACATAAAATTCTTATTAGTTTACATTAATTTACAATACAAATTATTGATAATCCTAAGCAAATTCTCATACGCATATAACGTGCGTGCAGTAGTTTAAATTGTGTATAAGTAAATAACTTTTTATTTAAAAAATCACGGGTTTTTGTCTGCTCTTTAAAATTAATCTCGAGATTTGAGGCATATCCACTTTATTCTTTCGCTGTATGAAATCAGTGTAAGTACATGAATAACTCTACCTAATTCCGACCACTGGTAATGGTAAATGGTGGTGCTCAATGCTAATTTAAAAACAATAAAATTATGAATGAAGCGGCAAACAGGGGTGAACATCAATGTGAAAAATACAAATCTACTCATAAAACAGAAGGGTTGGTAATACTGCATTGAATGAGGAAGTGAAATAAAACATTAGTTCGCGTAATCACACTAGATGTCACTACGGTACTTTCTTGATTTCTCCATGACAACCCTTCTGGTTTTTTTTCATTGATAAAAGTAAATTAATTTTCAAAACTCAATAAACAACTCACATTTGATATGTACTTTTTTGGATATTGTATCAATATGTTAGTATTATTAACATATTAATGTTAGTTCAACAGAACGGGGGGAAATTTCGTCCCCCAATTTTCCCCTCGCAGCTATAAAAAGCCCCCAAATTTGGGGAATCTCCCCAATCTGGCAACAGTGGTATAAAATAATAGGTATATTGTGTTTTTTTTTAATAATTATTTATTAGCCATGCATATTAATAATGAGCTATGGAATGAATGTAGTCTACATTGTGTTCTGTGCACTGTTGCCGTTCTACAAAATGTTATGTCCCTAGACAATCTTTACAATATCCTATTAAAAAAAAGAAAAGAAAGCACTAAAAAGCACCTCCAGTAGATGGCCACTCTAGCAAAAGTTGATTTATGCAGGAAACGAATGGACCAGACAGTCATTTCCGTTCCTTTTAACCAACATATAAAAAAATTGAAATTTGAAAAGTTTGAAACTTAGATATCAATACAAATACGAAAAAGTACAAATAGAATATGAGTTATTTATTGAATTTTGAAAACTAATTTATTTTTAAACATGAAAGAAAACCGGAAGGGTTGTCCTGGAGAAATCAAGAACGTACCGTAACGACATCTAGTTTGATTTCGGAAACTATTTTTTTAAATACTTCCTCATTCCGCTAGATAGGGATATTTATTTTTCTTAAGTATCTGCTAGATATTGGTAAACTTTTTTTGTCTAAAAATAGCAGAACTACACCTTGCACTTCAAGCCTGATGGAGGCTATAAACATGAAATTGTAAAGATAAATAAAAAAGAAATATTTATTTAAAAAAATACGTACAGCAGTGTTCTCTGATGCCATCTAATCCGGATGTGTTATTAGTTATTATTTATTAAAATGTTTACATAATACTGTTTCCTCCCAACTTATCGACTTAATTATACCCCTTATAATTAGGACTTTATTTATATTTAAGTCTAATTCTAATAAATCCAGAGAATCCGCTATTTCTCTACAGACCTCAATTCTATACCGCCCATGGAACCTAGTATGCTCCCCATAATACAGAAAATAATACAAAATCGCCGCCAAAGTTACAGAACGGTCTGCGTAGAAACACGTCTACACATACTTTCCTAAAAATGGGAGGCGCAATCGATTGAATACTGTAGTATCCATTCTTATGAATAATCATTAGTTTTTAATTTCATTATAAATAAACTATTTTCTTCTAAGTAACATCTAATTATTTTAGTAATCTATTCTAAGTTTTATAATTTTCATGTATTAAATGATTAGTAAATAATATAAGATTTGTATCAAATTCGATTAGTCAGAAATAAAATCGATCTTGTTCTTTGAAAAGAGAGGGACTTTTCTAGGAATGACATTATTATTAAGATGCATTCAAAAAATAACATAATTTAAACTGCGTTCTAAAAAATAAAGACATATTTTAAAGATCTTTCTTTTCCCAGCTTTTAAAAATAAATTGTTGGTATATAATAATTACATTCAACTTATACATTTTGGTGATAGTTCCATCTTGGTACAAGAACTTTTTTTTCGTAGTCTATTTTATGGTCTATTTTGACCATTGTTCTTTCACCCGCTAATGTTTCGAAAATTCCCTTAGATCTAGCGACAAAGTCGCCAGAACGGCAACACTGGTACTGTGGATACTATGTATCCAGAGCTGTTGAGCTCAATAAAAAAAAACAAAAGGATACTATGCACGGCCCGTCAACTCCGTACAATAAACCAATCCCGTAGGGGTCCAGTGATGTATGACATTTCCACACGCCCCTCACCCCTGTTAGTAGATGGAGACATGACACCTGACAGAAACTGTCATTACAACAAAGAGTAAAGATACTAATGTTTTAATTAATCTTTAATTAATTTTACTTGTTGGAATTAATTTATTCATTTCACATTGGCAAAATTGCGTGAAATACGCAGATATGCCATTAATAAAAGAAGAAGAAGACTAAAGTATGTACCTACATATCAGGGAATTACAAGTGATTGAGTAAAGTTTCTTTTGTGCTTACCCTGTTCGCTTTATTTGTAATATAAACTCTCCATTTTTCGAAGTATTTTTATTTGTAGAAGATGCCTAAGAAATTGGTGTGTTGTGTTATGGTTGTGTTACACGCATTGTTAAAGTACGAACAGGACGCTATTCTTTGTAAGATTCTAGTGAACGAGAAAAGATTCTCCAAGTGGTTACAATGTCTTAGTGCTGTGTGTGATACTGATTTTAATCCCGGCAGAAGTGTCATTTGTAGTAAACACGATGTACCAAGATTCATCACTCCAAAATCATGACTCTTGGGTGATCCATATCCGTCATTGTTTAATGATGATGGGCTCTCAATCAGCCTACCCTCTTCAAGCAATACTGGTAAGGCTGGTTTAATCTGCTATAATGTAATTAAAATGATATGTATCTTCACTTTATGTTGTGTTTTGGAATACTGCTATTCTTCATTAGATTTTTTTTTATTACAGATATTATATTCACTTGGGAACACAGCTATGCAAGAAAAAGTCATGTGACCACACATATTAGAAAGTGGAACTGAACAAAGGTTTGTTTTTAATTTATTTTATTTAAATAACAAAGTTCATGCTGCAGTTTTGATGTATTTTAATATAGATTTTTGCTTTAAAAAAGTCTAGTAGATCTCTCTTTCTTACACACATAATCAATATTGATTTCATAGGTGGTGTAATTTTAATAGAACAAATTGAGACTCCTGTGTCTGCAGCCACTGAGTTTACTCAATTAGTTGCTTGCTCTGGAGATTAAAATATGACACAAACTAAACTATCTGGTAAGACCTGTCTCTTTCTTTAGTGTATCTTTATTTCAATCAAATAGTAGTTCTAATAGAGAAATTCACTAAATACTTTTGATGTTACAGACCCTGTGAAATGTACCCAAACAAAAAGGAAAAGGCTTATTACCAATTGTCAATTGGCAATAAAGCCAATTGTCACCTTTATACCAGAGAATTTATGAAGAATATAACAAGCCAAAGACGTAGTTTAACTTTCTTAAAAAAGTTAAAAATACTTAAATACCTTTAAGTTTTTTATTTTATCATCCAAAACTACACTGAATAGATTAGAAAATTGATCATAGAACCAGGCTTCATGTAAGAGGTAAATATATTCCATATAAGTTTTTTCATACTACTTTTATAATTTTATGTATTACTACCAAATAATAATATTTACTTTTTCTACTACTATTTGAATTTACTTTTTCAGGTGGACAAATGAAACTCCAAAAAAATATGCTCCATTATAATTGATGAGATGTCATTAGAAACAGCACTTTCGTATAATAAAAGTAATAAGGATTAAAGATAACATTAATGGATTTGTAGAACACCAAGAAAAGAAAGTGGATTTTGCAGATCATACTCTTGTATTTATGTTGGTGCTGTTTACAAGTGGCAACAGCCTTTATGTTTATTTATGTCTATCAAGGAGCGACATCTACTGTACATCAAGAATATTTTAAAGTTAGTAGAAAAAGTTGTTGAATTGGACCTTAATCCTATCGCAATAATATATAACCAAGGCTCAGCTTTCCAATCAGCACTCAAAAATCTAAAAGAAGACACTTAGTGTGATCAAATTTTAAATTGAAATCACAGGTTGGTACAGAGAATTATATTTATATGAAAGAAAACTAATAGATTTAATGAAAGTAGTGAAGGTCCTTATTTTTATATTGTTATCTATGTTTTAAGAAGTTCTTAAATTTTTGTTTCAGTTGGCATTCTTAAAATATGTGGGATGGATT